GGGGGGGGGGGGGAAGGGAAAAGTCAGGGAAATATGTTCCTGGAAATGAGTGGTCACCCTGTATTGGGTTTGTTTATAACAAGGGCTTGGATGGATTCTGATAACCTAAAACACTTAAAAATATAGGGGAGAACAACATAATTTACAAAACATCAAAAATTTGTATAAAGTTTTTTATTTATTCAATGAATTTTACAATTTTAAATAAAACTTATTTATATAAAATTATATTTAATATAAAGTCTTTATTTCAAGAGGAAATGAAATCCTTAGCTTTGATCTTTACAACTGTCAGTTTTGAAAGTTTGAAGAAGTTATCAAAGATCCAAGTAATAAAGAGAGTTTGAAAACCAGAGTCCATCCACTGCAGTTGTGAATTTCATCATGAACTGATAATTACAATAAACACTTTGTTGTAGTGTGTCATTGTAAATTCATGAAACGTTCACTAACCAAAAATAAGAAAAGGAATCAATGCATTAAAATGACAAAAATGACGGCAGAGCCTACAAAAAATTACTTAAAAATTGAAAATTGGCAAACAATGACACACATTTCAAAATGACATACATTTCAATCATTATACAAATGACATACATTTCAATCATTATACAAATGACATACATTTCTATCACCTGCATGTCGTGATAAACATTCATTTAAAAGTTTGTCTAGTGTGTGTTAGTGAAAAGATGACATGCCATCAGAATCCGAACCCTGTTTATAACCTTTGGTAACCATTTGGTATTTGGTGTGTAATACAGAAGTCTTTAATTTGGAGTAAAAGCTTGTATGAGTCTGTTGCTACATAAAATGGTTTGAAATTCTGAAAAATACAGATAAAAATTTTATTAGCTCTTCAATTTTAAAATTGAATTAGAGAATGTCTGTTTTTAACGTAACACACATTTTCTTTTATTCTCACTGAAAGAAAATGTGTGTTACGTTGCAGGCAAATTGTCAAATCATGCTGAAAGAATTGTTGATATAATACTGACGTTAATTTTATTTTACATACATATCTGCAGAAATGTCTAGACTAATAGATCATTTTCCATTTTCCAAATGTACAGGTCTCTCAGCGACTCTTTTTTCTTACTTTTTTAGACTATTTCCATGCTACCATCAACTTTCTCACCTGAAGGGCATCGTAGAGTTTGATAATTTATTACTACTTTCAATTATGATTTGGATGAATATTTTCAATTTCTGTTTACAGTTATACTGTAAATCATGTTAGGATTGCATAATTGACTTTTGAAGTAACTGCTTGGTGAGTTTTGGGTTTCATTTAGAATACTGTTATCACTTTCAGAAATTACATGGGATTAACAATGTTCATAGTGGCAAATTATTATGTTATCTATTTATAACTGAAGTACCTATCATAACCTGGTTATTTATTTATCACAGTTGTCTATTAGAGAGGAAAGTAATGAATTCTATGTATAAGTGTATTCACACCCTAGCCTTCACATGCTTCACACTGCCCCATCTCACCCTGCTTCATCCGATGTGACCCCTGGCTGCCCTATTCCACCATTTTCGCTATGATCATCATTGCTACCACCATCGTTGCTACTGGCAATAGTAAACACATGCATTGTTGCATACTCCTGGCAAACATCCAGTAAAAATTTTGTCCTGAAATTTCGCAAAGCCATATTGTGCTGTTAAATGAAATAAAAAAGCATTTTGTCGATGATTTTAAGAGTTTTTGAAATTGGGTACTCCTTTTTACAGATACTTTCACTGTTTTTAAGATGGTCACAAAGATCTGAAATTTAAGAACCTAAATTTTGTTTAAGGGATAGGTAAAGAAGAAGAAACGAGTAGTTCTAAAGAAGTGTCATGCATACAATAATTTTGTTGTTTGTTTTCAAAATCACATGTACAAAATTTCATTAAAATTGGAATAACAATGTAGATTTGTATAATATAACCAATAAACTAATTCTCATTACAAGAAAATAACAATTAAAAAATAACAAGAAGTTATGCCTGACAAAAGAAACTACCTTTCGGTGAAAACCCCATTCAAATCAGTGTAGCAATTCCAGGCATTAGCCAAGGCAGGCCAAAACTGTACAAACAGTTGAATTGTTTTTATGTCATCTAAATAGGCATATGATATTATAAAAAAAAGCATTTATTTTGAAGTCACAAACCCTCTAATTTTATTTAATACAATTTTATAATATATTAAATATTATATTATTAAATTTATAAAATATAATTAAACAGTTCAACTTTGTGCTGTGAGGCTACAATTTTGTTTCTACACTATTGGAAATTGAAAAATGAACACCATGATAAAAATTAATGAGAAATGTGAAATTTGCAGAGGACACTATGAGGGGGCAATTAATGCAACGATCAAACTTGCACTTCTGCAGGCAAACCAGGAGTTGTGTAATCAGCCTTGGAATGTTGCAAGCTTTGCCAACACTTGCTCACCTTGAGAGCCTGTTCCGCGGTAACCAGTTTACCGAGGCAAATGGACCTCCATCTGTGCCTGCATTATTATTAACATCCCGTGACAGTGTAGATGTGCACTGTTTGTGCAATTGATGGTCTTTGAGCAAGGTGTCTACAGGAGGCTTGGTGGCCATACTGAAGAATTGCACTACACGTGGGGGTGAGAGGTATCCACAGTGCGTTAATGTAGTTGCCAGCGGCCAGCAGAAGGTGTATATGCCTGATGGCTTGGGTCCAGACAGCTACGATGCACAGATGTACGCTATGACCATCGTATCTTGCAAAGTGCTGTAATGGCCCCCACCGCAACTTCACAACAAATTAGGGCCACTGTTGCTTTGGTGCCAGTGGAGATCATTTGCAACCGTCTCCAAGAAGCCTCTATGATCTCACGTGCTGATAAGGCGCCTTTTGCTCATGCTTCTCATGTAGCTCACCTCCAGTGGTGATGCGATAGAGGTTTATGGCAGGGCAAATGGTGATGTATTGTCTACATTAATGAAAGTTGCTTCTACCTTGGTGCCAGTATTGGTCATATGCGTGTGTGGTGTCCTGCAGTTGAGCGCCAACGTCTGGAATGTATAAGAGAAGCACACACATCCAACATGTGCCAGCAAGGTGTGGGGAGCCATATCTAACAATTGCGATCCCCCTCTGGTGATCAAAGAGTAAACATTGATCAGTGCACAGTACATCCAAAACATCATTCATCCCATCATGCTATCGTTCTTACACCAATAAGATAGGGTGAATAGGGTTTTCCAGCTGGATAATCCACGTGCAGCTCTTGCCACTCAATATGCACTTCTAGGTGTACATCAACTACCTTTGTCTACACAATCTCCAGATCTGTCCATCATTGAGCATGTTTGGGACTGGATGAAATGTAATATTGCACGCTCTGCAAGACCACCAGGAAATCTGTCCCAAATGAGGTAAAAATGTATGGAAGGCCATTCTGCAAGACTACATTTGTCACCTCTACGATCGTCTCCGAATGATAACTGCAGTGTACATTGCTGCAAAATGATAGTATAGAAGATGCTAACTCTGATATTTCGCATGCCCTGTTGACTGTACTGATATGCCTACGGCTGTGTTGGTTTGATTGTTGTATTTGTCCTCGAGAACGTGTCAAAATTTCTGTCTGCTGGGTCAATGAATTCATGGTGGTGTTTTTTCATTTTCTTGTAGGGTATAAATGATATGTTTGAAAATTGTAGACTGTGATCAATTGTTGTCTGTCAATTAACTACTAGGTATAACTTTGTAATTTTGAAAGGGACTTGATGTTGAAAAAAGAAATTGTTATTGTTTATTTTTGTTGTTAAATTTAAAATAGTTTTAAAAATTATTTTCATTTGTAATTGGTGTTACTTTTTTAAAAATGTTTACTCACTATTTACTCTATTTTTGTACGACAAACCAACTTAATAGAACAAATCATTATTTGACTATACCTAGTTGTACTAATGCTGAGAGGCCTGAATTTAATGGGTTTTAAAATTTCTAAACATTTCTTAACACAATGAATGAACAGAGTTTAATTGTTGTTCACTATATTCAGGCTGTTGTTTACATGTGTCTATGTATAAAATGTCTTGGCAAATTGTTTGGAAGGCTTTTAATTTCCCTCCTACTCTTAGTATTTTGTTTACTCCTCAATTAACAACTTGGCTACTCTGTAGTATATCTTGTGAAGAAGTCAGAAATATAGTTGACTTTGTTCTAGAATAGAGGTTGAGATCATATTATCCCATAGGTCCAAGTTCTTTTGTAATTCAATTTCTGAAACATTCTTAATGTTTCAATGAAGATGAGAGTTTTAGTGTATTGGTAGAGGGTGAAAATGTGTAATCAGGATTAGCTAGATCCTAAAGTCAATTGAATATTCATTCTTCAGTTTATTACATAAAATTTGCTATGTTATTCTTCAACTGTCATTTTGTACAAGTAGATTTTCCATTTTAAAAAACAACAATTTGTCAAAAATTAGTAGAAAATGTAAAATTAATTTTTTTATTAAATGATAGTGTTCAATCCTCAACCCTGTTGAACTTACGGTTATATATATTTCTCTGGTTTTTATACATCATTAAAAATATTTCAAAATTCACTTCAGTAAATTTATGAAAGTGTGTTTTTATCCTCTGTAAAATTTTAATTTTATATCATTCTCTTTTGTAAATGGTAATGAGGGTGTGTGTCTTGTGAATCTTTTGGGTTTTAACTCTTCACCGTCTTTATTCATTAAATAGCCGTCCCAGTAAGTTCCAATAGTAGTCAGAATAAAAGTATGAAGAGTTCCCAATGCAAAAATGTTTTTAAGGAGTCAATATAGCTGACAATTTGTTAATACCTACTATAAAAGCATTGTAGAGTTTTATATCTCATTGATAGAATTGATATTCATTGTTTTTATGTCTATGATTTTATCACTGTTTTTATTGAATTCAAGAAATTTTGTGTGATATGATAAGAGAATATTTTTAAACAACAAACTAGGAGATAGTAATTTAGTTGAAAATTTTAATAAACACTGATGATAGAAATTGTGGTGAAAGAGAATATTTTTGTTTTGACGCTAGGAGGACTGAAGAAACAAGTAAAGGGATTTTGCTTTTGATGCAACATTGTGTTGAAATAACGATTAAAAGAAGCCAATTATACGAATTTGTATCATACTTAAAACATGTTTTTGCCTTGTGATTATTAAGTGGAATACATGGCGCTCCCTCATTCCTTCTAATTACTCCTACCACAATGCTCATGATCACAACCACTGCTAACAATAGAGATAGAAATTGAACTATCCATTATTTGTTACTGTGGTGAAGTATTAAAGATTTGGCCATGTTTATTTTTCAGAGACACCTTCTCGAGGAGCATCTCTACGCACTGTAATAGGAAGGATATACAGTGAAAATGGTGTAAGAGGTCTTTTTGCAGGCTTGACACCACGATTGGTGAAAGTGGCTCCATCATGTGCTATAATGATCTCTTCTTTTGAATATGGAAAAAATTTTTTCTGTCGTTACAATAAAAAAGTAGCAGCAGCAAGTCAGACCTCACCGAATTCACAGACTAGTCATTAAGGAGTATTTTGTAGTTAAGCCCAAACTTGTTTTAAACAGTGTTATATATACTTATATATATATACAACAATAAAACTGTCAGAACTTTCTTTAGTTGTTCTTACCAAAGTATTCTGTTTACCATGTCTATTGCTTGGTTTGTTGTCTACTTATTTTAGAAAAGGATTTTTCATTGGTTCCGCATAATATGTTTCATTTGTAGTTCCTTTTATTTTATTTTTTTGCATATTCTTGTTTTATTGACTCTGCATTCATTGCTCCAATGTAGGAAATCTTTAGTAGAAAAGTGCTTTTATTCCATATAGAAAAATAATTCTTGGTTGATGGTAAGTCAATTATATAAAACAAGGTGTTAATATTTTTGTTAAAAATAAGTACTTGCATATCTACATGACACAAGAACTAGGGAGGTTTTGCAGATGTTTTCCATGATAATTTTTATTTAACAAGTGGCTTCCACTGATCTTGAAATTTGTTCTCTCATTGGAAATAATGTTTTGTTACATATGAATGATTACACAATCGGGTTGTAAAAATGTAAATTGTAAGCAGGTAGATATACATTGTAAAAAGTGATGGAGAGATATGTTCCTATTATAAATATATATAAAAAAAATTGCATTCTGCAAAGAGTCTAAGTTGGATTTTTTGTTTATTTCAAATATTGTTATCTTGTTCAGTAAAAACTATGTTCAGTGTTATTCAGTTGTTTTCCCATCATAGGGAACATGACCTGAAAAAGTTCAGTTTTCTGAATATTTGTAAGTAACAATTGTCTACATATTGCTGCATTTGCTTTTGATTTGAATGTTGTTTTACTGAATTTTCTTTAATGCATTTTCATTATTCTTTGAATAATATTTGTCCACTTGACAGCTAGTGGTTGACAGAGGAGAGGAAGTTCTGTTATTCAATCACAGGCTTCAAATGATGTCACTGCAGTAGCCAATACTTGTTAAGGGAAAAAAAGAAAAAAAAAAAGAGGCTAAAGCACGAAGCAACTGTAAATTAAAGAACGCATTACTTCTTTGGTGCTCAGATTGCACTTCTCCTCCATACATCACATAGTATTTTTACTGATTTTTGACAAAATGAAATAAATCATGAGTAGTCTTAACATTCATCACGTACAATCTTTGACATCACATATAATTTAAACAATAGTCAAACAAATAACAGATGTTAATAACTAACGTTATTGGATCTTTTTCATTCTCATATATTGAATAAAAATGTTATGAAATAAAATTTGAAATTAAGTTTTTCAAAATCTTTCTCAAAAATTTCTAAAATAACATCCTTTTTGAAGATTATTTTAAAATTCAACTTTTTAGTAAGATACGTAGTATTTGGTGAAGCATTTTTTACACCGTTGACTTCATAAAGTATTCACTTCTAAGAAAATAACCAATCAATTGCCATTGTCATTATCATCACCACCTTCAATCTTTTGAGGTTTAATATTGTAATATGTTTATGGAGAGTGGAATGGAAGTGAATAGTGATAATGGACAATGTATAGTCTAAAATCATTACTTGAAAAGTAATTGAATTAGATTTTTTGTTTCTGTAGGGTACATTCCTTAATTGTGTTATGTATTACAAGTAGTGGTTTCAAATTAATTATCAGCAAGTTACCAAATACCAGTTGCTGGTAGAATTTCAAGTATTAGAAACCCAGATAAGTTGTGGTATCAAATAAATACACTCTAATAGTTAGAATAACATTGCCTTTGAGGTACATTGTTTTAGAAGGAGGAAGTGCGATATGATCGTTTTTATGAATAATATTATTTGTCATTGTCATGTAAAGAATTTTTATAAATAAATATATATTTTACTCAGCAAAAATTAAGTTTTTTATATTATTAGTTTCTCTTTTTTACATGACAAATTTTCAGATTTTTCTTACAAGTAACTTTGGGGTATTTTAGTTTTGGGACATTGAATAGAATTCAAATCAGTTGTTGAAATGATTTCTCATGACGTTACATGTGTATTAATCACGATTGCGAGCAAGTAAAGCTTTGGAGAATTGTTGTGTATTAGCACATACTTTATGGCATTTCGTAATGGCTATGTAATGCAATATAGCAATTTCTGCCCATATTGATACATCTTAGTCATCTCTTGTAAAATTTGTTACAATTCGTAGAACATTAGTTTCAAAAACTAATTCTTTTGAAGCTAATGTCAACATAAATCAGAAAATTAAAACTTTCATACAGCCATAAACATTTCTCAACAATGAAAAGTAATTCTTATAATTTCAATTGCGGAAATTTGCAAATTCGGAAATAAAATTATGCAAAACTATTCATATTTTCCAAAAAAGTCATTGTCTTTAATAACAAGTTTTTTTTAAATTCATTCAGATAAAAAGCAAGTATCATAAATGTTGCATGTTGACTCAGGGCATCAACTGATGTCACTGCAGTCCCTCTGACCGGTAAGTTCTACGTTCGAGTCCCGATGGTGGCAGAATTTTCTATTCTAGTTTGAGAGCAAGGTCGAATTCAATCGCTGTGTGGGGGAGAATTCTAGTGGTTGGCTGCTCTGATCGGTATTTTTCCTGTTTCTCCGATCAACAACAGACGAATGCCGGAATAGTACTCTAACAAACGAACCACGGACCGCGCGCGAACTTTTCGTCCTTTTCCTTGTCCTTCCCTCAGCTCTTACTAACACACACACACTAACATGCACTACACTACCACACATGCCGGGAGACCGGTCGGGAGCTTCGAGCTTGTCCCGGCTGGGGTGGTGCCCTACTGGTGAGATACCTTGTTAGGGAAAACCCTGCTAGCCGACGGTAGGGTGACACCCGATCTCGCCATTTAGCGGGAGAAGACCACCGTAACCTCCCGTGCAAAAACATGCACTACACTTACGGAACTAATGGCCCTGGTAGGTGACTCGCCCAGAATCACTAAAACTTTAAACTATGGATAAAAAAATTAAACTTATATAGAAAGCTCAAAAATTCATATGTACGTTGTATTCCGGGTAAAATGATTTAAATTTGGCGAAACATTTTTTTACACTTCAATTAACAAGTTTCCACATAAAAATTGTTTATTGGTGGAGGCAGTTTTGCCTTAGTCCGCTACCTCTTGTGGTGCCATTTTTGAGAAATTTGGGAAATGTTTTTGAGACTTCATGTAAAGTACTCTCGAAGATTAAAATATCCGTTTGAAACTCCCAAACCCTGGAGTTTGTTCAGATCGATCGAGAAATACCAATTTTGGAGAAAATCCGCTGATGGATTTAGGCGCTTGCACTAGCTTGACCACTTTTGTCACGGCGTGTGTATCTACGTATACTGTGTGTATCTACGTAAACGAGAAAAAACCCAATGCTTCTTTGGTAGCAGGGATCCGCAAAACCTGTATGTCCATTAAAATCCAGTGGAGGTGGGAGTCCTCATCCTAACGGAAATGTAAGGGAAGGCTCTGTGTCCCTTACTCCATCATCCATCCTCTTGTTTTTCATTTCATGTCATATGCACTCATTTATCGCCTTTTTTTCCCTTTCAACTTACCTCTACCTACCTACCTCTATGCTGAAGGCCTACCCATGCATTTTCCGTGCTATGCCGAGAGATGAGTAGCACCTCTCTTCCTCGATGGAGGACACTCCTAGTAACCTTGGATTTGAGAGGTCGACGCCAAAGGTAGTGAATTGGTGCATGTAATACGTATCTACACGCAGTCACCAGGACTCGCCAGGGTTAGCAAAACGAACAGAATTAGTCGGAGTCTAACCCAAAGTTCCAGCGTAAAGGTGACATAGGGCACGCACATCCTTTTTGTATTCATGTTCTTTTATTGACTTTTTTAAGTTGATATATAATGACTTATCAGTATGAAGAAAGACAATAATTAATATTTCTTAGTTCGGTTCGGAACAAGATTGTGATATCAAATGGCCAAAGGCATAAGCTAATCGGTGTTATAAATAGTGATGTTTCAATATATATATATATATATATATAT